ATAATTTCAGCCGGAGGGAGGGGGGGCGGCGCTGCGGAACAGCAGAGCGGCGAGGGAGAGCTGTCTTCTTCCCTTTACAAGCTTCAAACATGTATTTATCGTGTGATTTTGGAAATAAAAGTTTCATATTCTGAAAGCCAAGACTTTGTTTATTTAAAATCAAACAAAACAGCCGAACCCCGAAAAACTATTTTTTTACACAAATCCACGTTTATTTTGAAATGAGCCGTTGAGACTTCCGACTGATTTCGATAGAGCGGGTCACATATGTATAAATGTGTATATACATTTTTTTTAAATATATCTTTGTTATTGTATTCGGGATTGTGGGAAACGGTATTTCGATCTCTCTGTCTGTACACACAAACTGAAAGTAGAGTTTGAGAGGTATTCTTAAAGACAATCCACACCTTTTCTCCGGGTCCTTCTGTAGACACATGGAGATCATCTTCCTGAAGGATTTGCCGTATTTCTTCACCATCTCTTTGTCCGTGACGCCGGTCTCCAGAGCGGGGGGGTCGTTCTGCAGCGTCAGCATCAAGACCTGGACACACAGCATTACTCAAATGTCACAGACCTTTGGTATCTCGTTCGCTGCGTTTACAGGAAGTCAAAGATGGCATTTGTTCTGTGTCATTAACTCATTAAGTAGGAAAGCTCCACAGTGTCCTCACCTTCATCGGAGGGTATTTGTGATAAGGCGCGGCCCCCGTGGCAAGCTCGATGGCTGTGATGCCAAAACTCCAGATATCTGCTTTGAAGTCGTAACCCCTCACCTGTGGAAAAAGAAACATATAATCTTTATCTTAAAAAAGTAGACAACGTTGGATTTAAAGTACAAAATGCTGTCCTTTATAATAGGCTTACAAACGAGATGATAAACTATAGGCCTTCAATTTTGACAATAGTGTCAGTAAAGAAATCAAAGAAAAACAGCAGCTTTTTGATGAATTTAAATAGATTTATTTTGATTAAAGTTGTGAGTTTTCTGTTGTCAATGATTGTAACTTGGCACCAACCTGCTCCATGACCTCGGGGGCCATCCAGCACGGCGTTCCCACAAACGTCTTGCGCACTTTATTTCTCGTCATGTCACCACCTGTTGCTAGAAACGCACTGACACCAAAATCTGAAGCAGGGAAACAGAGAGTATTCATTAGAGAAAAGCACAGTGAAAGGACCTGAAGCAGGAAGTCAAGAAGGGGTCGCTTTCCTCCACGGACAAGGCTTCCTATGCATAAATACACCATTGGCACTTGGCAGTTTAATAAGGGCTGAAACAAACAAACAACAGACATTTTAAATCTAGGTTGGTGTCGACGGGTAAATACCTGCAATTTGCACTGAACCGTCGTCTCCGAGGAGAATGTTTCCAGCCTTAACATCTCTGTGAAAGACAAGAATTCAAACATTAAAAAAAGGACACAAGTTATTTGAAATATTACCTGAGTTCATGCTACCTTAGTATATTGTCTTTACTTTTTAGGGATGTTTAAATCCCTTCTGAAGACCCACCTCTTCTCCTCCTTAGCGTATTGACATCTTGTAGATTATTGCTTTTAAATTGTCTACGGTTGTGACTTGTTTATGGTGTGTGAGCTGAGCCGTGTGATTGGTTGTATGTTTTGTTTGACTGTACAGCACTTTATAAATAAAGCTGTATTGTATTTTCTACTTCTCCATACAAGAAATAGGATTCATCTTTCCGCTACTCTTATTTTAGATTTATTAGCAACTCAAGACAGTCTGTAGTTCATTTGTTCGTCCCTGTTCATCCTCCCCCTGGTGGTGATAAGAGGGTTCAGAGGGGATGTCTGTCGGCCACCTCACCAGCCAGACACTGTTGTCATAGTGACAGACTCTCAGTGATGAAAGTGGAAAGGGTCAAGTGAAAGACGAGGGAATAAAAAGGCGAGGGTGGCTGCGGTGTCACAGACGATGTCCAGGCTTTTCAGGAAGAGCTTTTTAAAAGAGAATAATGGCAGGAGGGATTTGACACACAACCCCCGGAGCACTGAAACAACGCCTTCCAACAGATTTCATTAGCACAGAATCACCTCTTAAAGCTGGACTGACAAGAACCGATGCAGTTCCTCCTGCTACCAGGTGGGGGCAGTAGAGTCATGTCAGATTGCACTGAAAGACACATGCTGTGGGATATTTCCAGCTAACAAATGGCTCTCAATGAAAGTAAAAATAGATGTGTCTTTGGAGTATTGCTTTGGAGATGACTCAGCTTCCCAGAAACAAAGCCTCACTTTATCTGGTGTATAATTTAATCCTTATAGACATCGCCAAATAGCAGATACACCGGGGGGTTAAATGCTGCAGAGGTAATTGTGGTTTGGAGATATTCTTGTTCTCAGACAGGAATACTGCTGAAGCATGCTGACAACTTTGAAATGCATTCTGTAACGACCCAAGGATCCCGATATTTGAATGACTTAATGAGGTTTGGAAGCAAAAAGGGAGACAAGGTGGCATCTGTAGTTTAACACACAGGGATTTGAGCCTTTTCAGACCATTTACATGCACAGCAAAACTGATATAACACACTACAGGAAAGGGAGAAAAGCACAACGGGGCTTCTTTAAGAGTTCGCAAGGTTAGGGTTCAGATATTTGTTCGATTGCTGGTGAATTCGTGAGATTATTTGCGAGGAGTGTCACAGCCGATCTCACAGTGACAGGGAGTGGCACACAGTGAGCCTCACAGGAGGAATACAGCATACGGGACATATTAGGACCTTTGGCTGAAGATGCACCGCATGGGGATTCCCAGAGGAGGGCAAATATCTGCAGGGATGATACAACTATTCAGACTCTGAAGTGTTTTCAGGGAGAAAGAGTGTCTGTGTTCTACATGTCTCCAAACTTTGATAAGGTCTAGACGAGTTCAATGATGTATCGAGGGATGATTCAGCGGAAGGGGATGAAGAACAGACATGACGGCTTTTGCTCGTGGCTTGGAAAGGCGTGTCTCTTTTTACTGTCCTGACATCACAGCTAGGTGCTTTCAGGTCACAGTGGCCGTTTCTCAATGTCGAGGAGGCTTGCTTGGTAGCACCTGTATGCTGGGCATTTAAACAGTGATTCGGCGCCACTCGATGACGTAGTATGCTTGAAGTAGTGGAGCAGCTTTACTCGACATTGAAAAACGGCCCGTGTGTTCCAGTTTCTGCCTCTCACTGCTTGGCGCTTAGAAAGAAGAAGAACGCGCTCGTCCTCCACCTTGAGCGTCAGTGTGGGTGATTTACGCCTGGTCATTTGAAAAGTTGCTTTTTAAGGGTTGCACAGAGGAGGACCACCTGAGGCTGAAACCACAGCGTCCTCTCTCAGTGGGTCCAGTCACGGCTTCCTGTGAGTCAGGGGTTAGCCAATTATGAGCTGCATTTCAACGGGCTCAGTTCAGGCCACGCTAACGTTACTTAAATCATATTTGGCGCGAACAATAGCTGAGGATGCTTCTGGAAAACATGTCAGAAAGTTGACCCAATGCTGGTTGGAGAAACATGTTTTTATGCCAATGATGAAGAGCTTAAAACACACTGATCATTCATAAGAAATCCGAACAAATGTAGGCGTAACGCTGAGGTCGATTAGCGAATTGCACTCTTAGTGGTGCTAAATCGGAATACATGTAAACTACAGGATATGAATTAGGACCATTACTCACCACTTAGATATATCTCTATACTAATGAGCTCTAAATTCACCAATTACATCGTTTACGCTGAGAAACAGTATCTTATTATTGCTTTAATGTGGATTAGACACGCTCCACTCTGAACCCACGGCGTGTCATCGCTCACAAAGAGAGGTCGAGGTGATCCGAGGTCCTTCGGCATTCATTCAAAAAGCACGAAGGCTTCGGTTTACTGCAGCAGATTGTGATACTCCGAGGGAAAAGGCTGCAGATAGTCATTAACATTCAATGGAGAGGAGGAGGAGGGGGGGGGAGGAGGAGGAGGAAGAGGAGGAGAAGGTGGTGACACAATGCACCATGCAAGATCTCAGAAATACTGTAGTTGAGAGGAAACTGCAGTATAACTCCCATAGAGACGTGATTCTGCAGAGGTGGGAGAAGTACTCAGGTCTTGTACTTGAGTAAAAGTAGAAGTACTCAGATCTTGTACTTGAGTAAAAGTAAAAGTAATCAGGTCTTGTACTTGAGTAAAAGTAGAAGTACTCAGATCTTGTACATGAGTAAAAGTAAAAGTAATCAGGTCTTGTACTTGAGTAAAAGTAGAAGTACTCAGGTCTAGCACTTGAGTGAAAGTAGAAGTACTCAGGTCTTGTACTTGAGTAAAAGTAGAAGTACTCAGGTCTTGTACTTGAGTAAAAGTAGAAGTACTCAGATCTTGTACTTGAGTGAAAGTAGAAGTACTCAGATTTTGTACTTGAGTAAAAGTAGAAGTACTCAGGTCTTGTACTTGAGTAAAAGTAGAAGTACTCAGATTTTGTACTTGAGTAAAAGTAGAAGTACTCAGATCTTGTACTTGAGTAAAAGTAGAAGTACTCAGATCTTGTAGTAAAAGTAGAAGTACTCAG